TTTTGTAGTCAATATATGGAGAACTTTAGAACATGTCTCTTATACACATCTAGATGTGTATAAGAAACAGCACAAAAAAAAAAAAAAAAAAAAAAAAAAAAAAAAAACTCGAACACAAGTAATGTTCGAATGCATGCCGGATCCTGAGGAAATAGGAGAATAACTCTCAGTTTCACACAGAGCTCGTCTCATTCACAGCAAGTGAGAAGACACAGGTAGATGAATAGATGTATCGATACAAACAGGTACCAACAACATACCACAAAACCCCAATGATCCACCAAACTTCCTGAACCCGACTAACGCTGGCGCTGACTACTGCCGTTTGACAATAGCCGCGTCAAATGCAAGACCTGAGAGGTCGATCCTACTACGCTTCTACCTATATATAGTTCCTCGTAGTGCCAACCGGTAGTACTTGTGCAACGTATCCTAGAAAAGAAGAGAAAAGAAGACTAAAAAAGACTAAAAATCATACGGGTCTAGCTGAAAAACGTCCAGATGATACTTGGTTCGAGCCCAAAACTACACGTGGTATATAGGCACCAGCACCGGGCCAATGTCGACTAACATCAAACCGGTTTGTCCGTCAAAAAACAAAACAGGACCCAGGTTCGAATCCCAAAGCTCAAGTATGCCGTACCTACCAAACACAAGAATCGAGTCCCAGGCCAGTGTCGACCAGCATCAAACCGGTTCGTCCGTCAAAAGGCAAAACAGGACCCAGGTTAGAATCCCAAGGCTTAAGCATGCCGTACCTACCCAACACAGGATCGAGTCCCAGCGCCCTGTTTCAGCCCTCTCTACAATTACACTCCGACTGTCCGTTAGCAGCAAGCCCAAAACATTACCTCCTATTGATAAAGAACCCAACTATCAACAACAAGTGCAAAGACAATACATCACACCCTATCCAAATCCAAAGCACTTCACGCTGCAGCCCCGTCCCTGTTAGCGGCCGATTGCGTTCTATTTGTGATGTTATTAACTTATTACTAATATTTACTATATACTTTTTTTTTTTTTTTTTTCCCCCTTGGCTAGGAAAGTTGCATCCTAAAATTTGTTCTACAAGGTACCCCGTACCTTGTATTCGAATACAAGGTTCGTACCTCGTTTTCGGGTTAAGACGGTAGGAACGCTTGTTTCTCTTGGACATACCTTGGCTTGTGTTTCCTTTGTAATTTCGTCTGCAGTACGCGTTCAGGTGGACTTTCCAATGTGTCATTTGCAGGATGCCTTCGGGTGGTTTCTGCTGTGCAGTAGACCGACCAAGTAGGTCCTGGCTGGAGTTGTCGCTGTGGATGCTGTGCTCTTAACTGATTCAATAAACTCGGTCACATTTGTCTCCGTCTATAATTGCAGGCCAAAATGTCCAATTCCTTCCTTTCCATTTGTGGGAAGGGGGGAGGTGGACGGGGGGGAGGAATGAAGAAAGTCGTGTCGTGGTAGTGCCTTGTGCGTGGAAAAGCAACGACGAAACCCTCCTGAAGCGAGCAACCTCGCTGAGCCTTTTCGGTAGGGGAGACAATGATGAACCTTGTGATGATAAAGAAGCCGACACAAAAGCTTTCCGGTATATAGAATAGCCAGCGCAATTTTGTGGTGGGACGTTGTGTTCCCGATATGGGTCGCTGAGATGTCTGCTATCTCAAGTCTCGATAACAACTCCATTTCCGTCGCATTTAATATTTGCGAGCATATTTGTTGTGATCCCTTGAACTTTCACTCTTTGGAGTTTAAACTTTTAGGGTTTAAACCTTCAGTCCATGTTGGATGTGGATTTGCAGGCGCAATTAATGTAGGGAAGTAGATGGTGATTGTGGTGGCTTTGTCTGCGGAAGTCGGGATGGTGAGAAGACTATGAATGAAGAAGTCTGTTTCTTCATCGGAACGGACAGAGTTGGGGGGGGGGAAGAGGGAGAGCAAGGAAGGCCTCGCTGCACTATGCATTGTCTGTTCCAGTCTACTATAGGAATGCATCGGACATGATGATATCTATGGCAGAGGAAAAGACATCATCCTGCTGGCTACCATCTTCCCCCGAACATAACGCACCCTGAAAATGAACGGATGTAAGGTATGTTTGATGCCCGATACAGTTAAAATGAGGGTGCATTGTGTTGGGGGGAAGAAGGTAGCCGCGACTAACCATCGCTGAGCCACTACCTAACCTGTTTTCAGCGCAGGATGATTCAGATCGAAGGGTTCCCAAGGGTGCAGTGGTAGTATGGTGTCCTTTTGTTCACAGAGAGAACGATCTTATCCTCTTCCCTTAAACCACCAGTACATGGCCCCAGGCAACTGGAGCATCTCCGGAAATTTAGGAGGCCGAGCGTCGTAGATAAAATGAATTGGTGGCGGATGGCCTCCAGCACGACAGTGGTCATGGAAGTTGAAATCCGCTAAGGAGTGTGTAACAACTCACCTGCCGAAGCCCCTGTATCTCGCCCACACCGAACGCTTGATATGGGAAGAGGGGAAAGAGAGGGGGGGGG